GAAAGAAAGAAAGAAAGAAAGAAAAGAGGAAGAGGAGGAGGAGGGGGAGGAAGAAGAAGAGGAAGAAGAAGAAAGGGAGGATAGGGAAAGGGGGGAGGAGGAAGAGGAAGAAAACCTCCCGGAAAGGATATGTTTGGTGTTCAGTTTCTGGAGATGGGAGCTGACCTTCTCCTGGAATGCCAGCTTGGCTTCACAGCCACAGGCGTCTTCTATGGAAATGAGGCTTCGTGCTTCCTCAATGTCTGAAGACAATGACAATACACAAAATGTTATAGCTAACCAGAGATTACAACAATGTGGGGGCTGGGGCTGAGAACACCCGCCCAGCACAAGGGGAAAAACCAAGGAATGATAGCAAGTCAGGAAATCGACAATTCACTCCAACATTGCCATTTATGTAAAAGCATTTTTCAGCAGGTAAAATCACCTAAACGCAAACGGAAGAGAGAGAATATTTGCTAAAGTTAATTTTACAGAAACCTCTATGAGGAAACGTTGGGGAAATGTTTATATTTGTCAAAGCTGGGTGACGCTTATGTGAGAGTTCGTTGTATTTTTTTTTTTCATGTTTTTGCCTTTGTCAGAAATCAGCCATGATATAAAGTTTCTTCAAAGTGGTTGGTGAAGCCAGAGACATGGAAACAAGACAGTCACTGGGCGGTGGTGGCGCACGCCTTTAATCCCAGCACCCAGGAAGCAGAGACAGGCAGATCTCTGTGAGTTCAAGACCAGCCTGGTCTACAGAGTGAATTCCAGGACAGTCAGGGTGGTTAACATAGAGAAGTCCTGTCTCAAAAAACAAACCAAAAAAAGAAAAGAAATAAGACAGTCTTCCTATCCTACTGTTCTCTTAAGGAATGGACATGAGAACAGTTAGCTGTTTGTATAACCAAAATACTTCAAAGATTAAAACTAATTAACTCCTGACTTCCTGCAAAGGATTGCTGTTCTGTTGAATGATTTGAAATGAGAAGTGTAATTTTTACCCTTACATACTTTGGAGCTAAAAATTCAGAGCTATATTGATAGCCTACCTGGATACCCACAGTGTGGTGTGTGTGTGTGTGTGTATCTGTGTGTCTGTGTCTGTATGTGTGTATCTGTGTGTGTATGTGTGTGTAGTATGTGTGTATATGTGTGTATGTGTCTGTATGTGGTGGATATGTATGTGTCTCTGTGTGTGAGATGGGTGTGTATGCATGTGTGTCTGTATCTGTGTGTGTATGTGTGTGTATATGTATGGGTATGTGTGGTGGGTATGTGTGTGTGTGTGTGTGTGTGTATATGTGTGTATGTATGGGTATGTGTGGTGTGTGTGTGTCTGTCTGTCTGTGTGTCTGTGTATCTGTCTCTGTGTGTGTGTGTGTGTGTGTGTGT